CGAGGTCCGAGTCGTATTGGAGTTACTGCAGGCTCTCGTGTGGATCTATTGGGCGCCAGCGCAGAGGCAATACTGCAACAGGTTGACCGCTGTTGCACCTCTCGACGAGGGCTCATGGTCTTCACGCTGAATTGACTCACTGCACTTCGTGAAAGGGAATCAAGGTTTTCGGAACCTCTGTGTCTACTCCTTCATCGCTTGATAGCGCGTTCCGATTGATGCCGAAAAGGCACGATAGCCAGAGTGAGAGTTTAAGCACCACATGCCATGATATTTCATCAATTTACATTTCGACAATGTAAGTCGGCAATGATCGTCGCAGACTTCCTATCATACTTCATTTTTTAAACGGAAAACTACTATACGGCAATTCTTTGAAACTGCCGTGAGTTTTCTTCTCCGTGCGAAGAAAATGGACCACTAGACAAGGTGCGAATTTAAGCGATCTGATACATGTTTCTTAACCAGAATGTCACGTAGAAAACGATTCACACAACGAAAATTACGGAAACCAACTCCTAACGAAGATATTAACGTTTTTATTTCACATTGGCTACGAGGAATTTGAACTGCCCGCTCACAAGAAACTCAAAACTCTACGTGAGTCAAATCGCCCACTACAACGGTTTCAGCAAGCTTCTCAATCGAGCAATGTTCATTTCCCATCATGTGTTGTTTAACCCTAGTCTGCCTGAGCCTCTGAACCAACGAGAAAGCCTGAGCGGGGTCACTTTGACCCCAGCTGAAAATCAATTAGTTAGCTATGTTTTTTTCATGTTTTTAGTTAATATCAGTGCACTAACCTTACAGGCCTTAACCATAAAGCATATTTAAGTTTTAAAAAACACGGCGCAGGGTATGCAACCATTTTATCATACACATGTTGCCATGTTGTTCTCAGCATGAGAAAAAAAAAATCATAGGGCTACTAAATACTGAAAACGAAAAAAACCTGAAAAATTTTGCTTGTTTTATAAGTTTCTGAAAAAAATGAAAAAGAGAAATATGAATACACCTTCAAAGTAAGCTTTTGTGATGCTGAATGGTAAAATATATGTTATAAGGATATCTGACCCCGCTCAGGCTTTCTAGGGGTACTCGTGAATTTTTTGATCTCTCATGGACTTTTTTCTCCTTTTTTTCCCTTCAAAATCGTGTTCCTAGATGTTTTTGTAGAGCTGTTTGTGAAGGACAAAAAATTTCGTGCATATCACGAGAAATGGCAAAGAGTTGAAACTCCCGTGGGGTCAATCTGACCCCACTCAGGCAGACTAGGGTTAAACTATTAGCAATTTTCTATAACTGAGCCAAAGCGTCAAGATTGAGGTTGCCAGATTTTTATATCGCAGAGACTGTCATGATAACGTTTAGCGCGCGATGTGAATCACGTAGAGCATTGAGTTTTCATGAGCGGGTGGTTTGAATTCACGCATTAAGAATCATTAAATATCTTCGTAAGGAGTTAATTTCGGTAATTTTCGTTGTGTGCATCGTGTTTTACGTAAAATTTTGGTTAAGAAACATGTATCAGAATGCTGAAATTCGTACCTCATCTAGTGGTCCATTCTGCAAAAACTTCAAGGAATGGTGTCAATTTGTTCTTCTTTAAAAAATAACATAGAGGCGGAGATTTTCAGACACCACAACCGAGTTATGTGATTGCCGACTTACACCGTCGATTATTATATCGATGATGACTATCAAACCACGCACATCGGTTTGAGACGTTGCAGTCTTCCTGTCATACTTGATTTTCGAAATGAAGAGCTGCTGAACATCCATTCTTAATATCTTTCGGAATTTTTTTTTTCTGTGCAGGGCAAATTCTGAGAAAAATTATTGATCTGTTCTCCATTAAATAATATAACAGAAGCGGAGATTTTTAAAAACAGCCAATCAGATACGTGGTTTTGGGACTTGCATTGTCGATATACAACATTTCGACGGGGAAACACCAAAATTAGGTATCTCCTTTGCAGTGTTCACAAATCTCCGATCCTCTCTTATTTTTTCAGAAGAGACCAAATCAACCCATTCCTTGAAGTTCTTCCAGAATTTGCTGCGCACAGAGAAAAAAACTTATGGGAATTTTTTAAGATTTGACGTTGAGTGGTCAAAAAATAAAGTATGAAGAAAAGTTTGCAATGTTGCAAACCGAGATAAGTGGTTTGGAAGTTTTACCGTCGATATCCTGGAAACACTTTAAGGCAACACGTAAGAGAGAGATTGGGATTTAATCAGTGCATTAGAATTCGATAATTCACACGTCATGCTCGCAAAAGAAACGAAATTTAAAATAAGTCAAAACAGCTTATTAATAATAAGCTGTAAGTAGGTAAGTAATTTGACTTTAATTCCCCAATTTTTCCCCCTCCTTGAAATCGTAGTTAAAACTTTACAGAGAGAATCCAGCATTATTAAAAAATTATTTCATCGCTAAACTGACACAAATGAGTTGTGTGTCTAATTGAATTTAAGAGGACTTTGATTTCCTCGATGTGTCGGATACTCACATGTACCAAACGGGAAAAAAAGTCCACGTAGAAGCTTTTCCATGAAAATTCGGCAACGTTCAAAAGCTCATACGGCGTACTTCACTTATAACGGAAGTACAAAACGACGCAAAACGCTCTACCGTCGGTCGGTTCCTTTCGATAAACACAAACAAGATGAAATTAGATACCGCTTGTGCAAGAAGCGACGTATCTTTCCGAGAGAGTTAATGGTTCTTATGCTTTTCCACAAGATAAACCGTTCAATTAAGGATTCGAGAGCGTAAGCATAAACTCAGCAATTTCAATTTCTGGATTTGGAAAATACATAGAGATGGTTGAATGGCGGGAGGGGGTGACGCCGCATGAACCTTCGAACGTTGCCAAATTTTCTTCGATAAGATATGAGATTCCTGTTACACTTCTGAATATTTTTGTTTTAATTCTTCAAAGAATTTTGCTTGGAATTGGATCTAAATTATGTGAAAATTTTATGGAAAAATAATCATAACTTTTCTGGAAAATGAACGTTTTAGAAAAATAAATTTGGCAACATCCAAAAGTTTATACGACGTTTTTCCGTAGCACGGCAGAGGGATTCTCGGAATTTCAGTGCACACGGTTCCTGGGAAATTTCCGCGACGTCGAGCCGCTTCTAAGGATAATAAACGGAGGAAAACGAGAGATGAGTTCCGGATTTCAAACGCTCCGGTGAAAATCAAAAGAAAATTAGGTGCCGCCATGAAGAATTTTATTCACATTCCGTGAAGCGCTGCCGTGCTCCGTAAGAACGCCGTATGAGCATTCAAGCGTTGCCAAATTCTCTGAAAGAAAAGTATATATTTTCCAAAAGATTAATAAAAATACTACCGTGCTAAGGAAGAACGCCGTTTGACGAAATTTAAGCATATTTTCCCTTGAAATTTTCGGATATTTTAGATTAAATGGCGAACAAAATAGTCTGAAACATTGGAAGAAATATATTTACAATTTCCCCAATAAATTCGTATTTTATCAGAGGAAATTTGGCAACGCCTGGAGGTTTATACGATGTTCTTCTTTGGCACGGTAGAATATTTCATTGAGATTTTCAGATTCGGAACGTGAAACTGCGGGTGAAATCCTCTTGATTTTTCATTCAGAAGTATTCACAGGTTTTGCTTCGAAAAAAGCGTGTCTATTTCAGCATAACTTGATAACGTCTGAATACTGTGCGATTTTTCCTAGCGCCGGAAGTGCAACTTGGTGGATTTTCCGGGGACGGGAACCGCCTCGACACCTTTTCCTTTTCAAGAAGCTTCAGGGCGGATTTCTGTGAATAGCTCGGAAAATCAAGGATAGTTTCCGCAAAATTTTATCTCTCCTCTGAATTTTTTGATTGGTGCGGTTTACCCAGGAAAGATCACAGGCGATCTGCCATTATAAGTAAAAACGCCGTATGAGCATAGGAATGTTGGGTTCATTGTTGGTATCTCGATTCCCGCATGAGCCCCGCTAAGCATAGATTTAAACATAAAACAAGGCTCACGTAAAGATCAAGATACGCCTATACTGCCGTGCTACGGAAGAACGCCGTGTGAACATTCGAGAGTTGCCGAATTTCCCCGGATAAAACATGCATTTTTGACGAAATTAATGCATATTTTTCCTTGAAATTTTCAGATATTTTAGATTAAATTGCGAACAAAATTGTCTGAAAAATTGGAAGAAAATTGGATTTACCATTTCCCCAAGAAATTCGTAAATTATCAGAGGATATTTGGCAACGCCTGAAGGTTCATACGGCGTTCTTCCTTAGCACGGCGGTTTAGGTCGGAGGGGCGACGAAATAAACCAATCCCAACGGCACCAACTTGCGGGGCCAGCGCACACAGCGTCACGACCGTTATCTCCCCGGCCGAGGAAAAACCGCGCAAGTCCTCGCTGAACTATCCGCGTATCCGCGGTTTTCTCAAGGTGGGGCAGGGGCGGGGGGGGCGAACGGATCCGACGGATAAAAGTATTAATGCTCCAATAAAAGGCGTATTTTTCGCGGGGAAATACGGGACATAAAATAATAACAGCGGCGTGCTCCTGATCCAGTCGCGCTATTCATTACGCGCCGTTATTCAGTGCCCGCGCGATCCCGAGCCCCCCCCCCCCCCCCCCCCCCNTGTCATGCAAATGTACGAAATGTGTATCAGGATTGCCACAGAATTTGAAAGATGAAATTCCCTGAAATTTTCCTGATTTCCCTGACATGTTTGAGTAAAATTCCTTGACAATTGAAAATGTCCTAGACGGTTAAAAAGATATGATTTGAAATAGTTTCCAGGCCAAATTTGTTAGTTAAAACGTCAAACCCATTCTATGAAGCAAAAAAATTTGAATTAACAATTTTGCTCTGATGACACCTTCATCATTTTCCCTGAAATTTCCAGGTTTTCCCTGACTTTTTAAAATTCCCTGACCTTTCCCGGTATTTCCTAACCGTGGCAACCCTGGTTTATGGTTGAAGTCTTGACTTACCAAATTAAGCCACGCGTTAGTTGTTAAGATTTGATTCTTCTCGTCCTGAAACACAAAAAATGAGCACATAATTAGATAATTACGGATGTTTGGGGGTAAAATGCAATTCCATTAGCACGAAGTAACTAGTGGTGAAAATGAAAACTAAGATTGACAATGTGCGAAAAGCTCTGTATCTGTATGCGGCTCTGTCTAACATAGCGGGCACATTATACGATACATTGCGAACGTACATTACCTCAGGGTGAATATGATTGGTTTCCTTAGCGTAATTGGACTACATTCTGCAAAAAGGAACGACTTGTTTTGGCTCATTTCAGAAACGACGTATGAGTCATTAATTTCCCTTTTGCAGTTACGGGCTTTTATGGATAAGAAAGAAATGGTTGTACATTGTTGCAGGGAGTCGTCTAATTATGTCATGGGAACTCTCCGATGATGCCACTCGCCGCTACATGTAAATAAAAACTTTTTTTTTTTGGCGCATATACTTAGTATACCGCCTTTGCGATCGTTTCGACCCACTGATCGATATAATGTGTCGAGTGCCTGAGTTGCTTACCGGAAAGTGACTGCCAGGCTCATTCTGAATCTTCGGAAGCTTAAAGAAAAGTTACTAATTCTTCACACTTTTAGATTGACTGATATTCGTAACCGATTGTATTTTCTTATTGTAAATCCTAGAGAAGAACGCGCTCAGTTATTTAGTTTTTTTTAATACTTATAAAACCATGGTGGGCCATTTTAAAAATGGCTGAGCAGTTCAGCAATCCTCGAATGTGAGTATATTGCTCCTCCGTTTTGTTTAAAACCATCGGTGACAAATTGGTGACCCCGACGTAATTTTTAAATTTTAAAAATTATAAAATGCGTGAAATAGCCTTGAAAAAATTTGAAAAAACCTCCCAAAAAAAATGTCTTGAGCCATAACATAAAGAATTATACGAAACATGCAGTGAGCGTTGCGCTTCAATGAAGTGAATTTAAATGTGTAGTGAGTGTTGCGCCTCCACATTTGAATTTTTAAAATTAATTGCTGATGTAACAATTTAATTGCTAAAAAACAGTGACTGCAAAGTTTCGATGTAAATTATACGACAAAAAAAATCTACTTTAACCACCCCCAAGGTTAAATTAGCTTACAGAGGTGGAAAGCTAATCTAACCACGAGGGTGGTTAGAGTAGCATTTTTTTGTTGTAAAATCTACATTGAAATATTGCAGTCACTTTTTTTGGTTTTTTAATTGTTAAATCAACAATTTAATTTTTTCCGTGTGTGAGCGAATGAGGGTGATATATACGAGTGAATGACGTGCCTTATCTACTCATTGTGGTGGAGTTCACTGCTTGTATGCACTGCAATTCATCTGATCTGCTCTGGAAAGTTACGGTTACAGAGTGGGAATCCAAAACCACCCGCAACTTTGTAAACTAAAACCGTAAATACCTTAGTTAGGACTTGATTTTAGTGATTTTCGTAGTAATAATCGTGTGTAACGTAAAATTCTGGTTAGGAAACATGTACCGGAATGCTTAAACTGGTAACTTGTCACTGGTCCATTGCAGGGCGAGAGGCAATGCAAATCTTATTTCGTACGGTATTCTTAGTTATCCGTTCGGCAACTGAGGTGGCCGGGTGAATTTTGGCAAAGATGTGATGATCTTGACTTACGCTTTATTTATATACTATGTTTACGGCTAATTTCACCATAACTTTAGGTTCGAGTGTGAAAGAAAGTTAGCTCAGCCTCTTTTCGACAGACTCCTTCATATACACACGTATAAAAGCATTGAAATGCAACAAGCAACTATTTCAACTCTCCGGAGAGCAAATTGCATAATTCCCTAACTGAAGGAGTTTTGAATCACCGCGACAGTTTGATTGGCAATGAAGCGAAAGCGTGAAGGGCTCAGTCCTATGCGAGATTATTATGGGTGTATTTCGACGGCGTAAGTCCGCAATCGCATATCTCGTTTGCAAAGTCTGAAAATCTCCGCTTCTATGTTATTTATTTAAAGGAAACCATATTAACATCATTCCTTGTAGTTTTTGTAGAATTTTCTTCGCACAAAGAAGAAAGTGAGAAGTTGAATATAGTTTTCCGTTTAAAAAATAAAGTATGATAGGAATTCTGCTACGTCGCAAACCGAGTTATGTAATTGCCGACTTACACCGTCGATTTAGGCAAAACTATGGACAAAGAAGACAAAGTAAAAATTAAGCGATCCTATTGGTTGAAACAGGTTGTTTTCATAGACTGAAAAGAACATGATGGACTAATTATGGGTTCCATCGACATTTCAAAGGCAATGCGATACTTTTTGGCGTGTTGATCATCCATGTGGCAACACCGTTGTGGTATCTTTTTATTTAATTTTATTTTATTTATTTTGCGGGTAAGCCGGGGGGCGGGGGGAGGGCTGTTCCACTCGTGGACTGGGGCGTCGGGTCTGGATTGAAGCGGGATTACTATTCAGCCGGACGCGACTAGGAACACTTGATGCCCTCTCGGCTCATTTTCGGATTAATTACATCCGCCTGTCCGACTCTCGTGCTCCCAACCTAAGAAAAAACACCGTATGCGCATTTAAACGCTGCCAAATTTCCCCCCAACAAATATTTATTTTCAAGGATAATCATGCAAATTTCTCCTCGAAATTTTCAGATATTTTCGATCAAACCGCCAACTAAATTGCCTGCAAATTTTGGGAAAAAACTTGCAGAATTTTCCCAGTAATTTTTCGTTTTAACCGGAGGAAATTTGGCAACGTTTGAAGGCTCATACGACTTTTTTCCTCAGCACGACTACGGACTTGGCTCTCGAGACCCTCGACCCGCCACCAACACCGGCGAGCAAGGTCCTCGCCTCTATCAACGGAACGTTTTTATGCTAAAGGGAACTATAAAAAAAAATGAATGGATCTCTTGCACAAAAGAGATACAGCCAACTGAGCAGACGCTCGGTTAGTGAAATCCCACGAATATTACACGGAGAGAGCGGTTGGCATCGGAGACACAAGGCGGGTGGGTGCGTGGGTCACTAGACCATGAACGTATTTTGACTTGCGAAAATATTTTTCCGAAACGAAATGACGCGTACACCGAGAAAAAGATCGGTGGAATTTACCATTCCTTCACGCTGTATTTTACACAGCGTAAATTCAAAGTCGATTCCGCCAGAGGAATGGTTATCTGTACCCGTAACGTTTTTCTTTCCTCTGGCAGAATTGAATCTAAATTGACGCTGTATGAAATTCAGCTGGACGGAATGGTAGATTCTACCAAACTTTTTTTTCGGTGTAGAACACTATGAGCACATTAAAAATGCCAACAAGTAAATTTAAAAAAAAAAAGAAAAAAGAAATACGCAGTTCAAAAGGTGCAACTTTCCCGCAAATTTAAAACATCTCGGTTTTGCGCCGAACCGAATGATGTCACTTGGCACCAATTAGAAGCAAGCATGGGTTTCTACGGCTTCCGTCAAATGTCTTTTCTACTCCTCATATGTGAAAACAAGTAGAAAGTCGAAATTATACCTTTAAAGTCAAAGAACCGAATCTCACACATGTTCCCTGTAGTTCAGGATTTTGGCTCCAAAAATACGCAATAAATCACCGCGTACAATCAACTGCGTGGTACTTTCAGAATATGAAATAAAAAAAGAAGAAAAAAATAAATTTAAAAATTCAGCCGGCAGAAGGCTGTGCCCTTCAAGTTTTCGCTTCCTGGCGAGACAAACTCCACTTTGAAACTTCCATGCACATTAGATGCACAATAGTTCTTACGACGCGCCCTGAGCGACTGCTGCCTTTCAAATCTCCTTCAGTCTAGGAAGTATGCAATTTGCTCTCCGGAGAGTTGAAATAGTTGCTTGTCGACTTTCAATGATTTTAAACGGGTGTTTATGAAGGAGTCTGTAACCGAAAATTCCACATTGGAAAATAATTGCAAGAAACACAGTAAACTCGGCTCGAAAAGATTTTTCAAAAGAGGCAGAAGTATAGATATTAAGGTATCAAAATGTCTCATGAAAAGGCTCCATCGGCATTACACCAACTTTGCGCCCCTTTTTTGCAAAAAAGTGAATTCAACGACTCGTAGACATATTTCTATACACCGGAAAAGAGAGATTTTGTTGTAAATTTTAAAAATCCAATGTTTCAATCTGACTAGAAAACAATTCATGTACTATAAATGGATTGCATTTTGCAAATGGAACCAGAAGCATTGCCATGTTGCTAAGGTTGTGCGACTTCACCATTTGCAATAAAATTACTGTAATCATACAAAAATATGAAATTTACATGGTAATTATTGTCTTCAATTAACAGTTTTTAGGGTGTAAAACATAAAATGTTTATAGATGACCAGGTTTTTCTCCCAAGACAAGAGAAGTTGCACAATCTTAGCAACATTGTAATTCTCTTGGTTCCTTGTTGCAAAATGCAATCCAAATTTTATCCTGGTGAACCAAAGTGTCTAATCCCACAGTCACATCTAAAACTACCCCTTCGTTCGCTGTAAAAGGGAACTGAAATTCAGACTCTGTGCTTGCAGCTCAACAGTCGTAAATTTACGGGGTATTTTGCTTTTTTTCTTCTTTTCAACTTCATCCGATATATAAAACCACTGGAATAATTAAAACGAGCCGAAGCGTGTGAACAGAACTTTCGCGGAAACTTATTTGCTCGGTTCACCAATTCGCATCAGGGCCGATGTATTCATACAGTCGGTCCTGTCCTCCTATCCTACCGTGTTAAGAGAAAACACACTATGAACATTCGAAAGTTGCCAAATTTCACCGAATGGGTGATTTTTTGGAAAAAAAAGTTATGAACATTTACCTGCTTTGAAGTCTATAGAAACTGGAGACTGAATTGCGAATAAAAATTACCGAAAAAATTTCGCAATTTTCCGGGAAAGTTCATTCTATTATCATGGGCACACTGGCACCGTTCAATGGCCCTTAGGATGTTTTTACTTAGCATGGCAGTATCAACGAATGACTTTATCCATGCCCGCTACCGTGCTAAGACAGAATGCC